GAAAAAAATGAGTGATGTGTCCCATGCAAATTGAGTTTCGTCCGCGTATGGTCAAAAAGTTTCCGTTCGATCATCACTTACGGCGCGTGTAACACGCACAACCGACTGGCGCTAAAGAGACCCAGGCAATGCTAACGTTGGCGCGGCACACTCAAAAAGGAATAGCAGGTATACAAAATGACACAAAATATTTATCCCAAAGACAGTTTTCATCTCGAAAATGACCTTTTCTGATACAAATGAAAGTCACACTTGAAATTATCAACAAAAATAAGTTGCCGGCTATTCGTGGTTTCCAAGACTCATTGTGGTCCATTCTCAGGCTGCTAAGAAACAAAGGATGTGCACGCCATCTCCGCACAATAATGAATGAGAAGAGTTTGAACGCAGGGGGCGCTTGTCGCACAACACCCTTCCGCCCCCCTGCGGGTAAAATATGAGTCGCCACACAAACAAAACAGCTGTAACACAACACATGAGCGCTTTACGTGAAACTTTTACGATCAGGCTGGATGGTTACAATACTCTACTAAATCACTCATTCAGCGATTTGCTATGACCCCAATATTCATCAAGACGGGACAAACACTTGGAAATAGTAGATTGAGAATAGAGACAACAGATCAGCTATTGCGACGCAAAAGGTTACTTTTTGTTGCTAAAGGTTGATCCAAAGATACTCTATGATGCTCACACAGGAAAGAAAGCGAATTCACGGACGTTTGTTATACATTTCTAAGGGGCTGAACGGCGTGCCAAATAAAATACGTTGGCCCCTAGAACACGCTTTCCTACATTAAGAAATATCAAACTTTAATCTTCAATCACTAAGAAATTCTTAACTTTAATCTAATACGTCTTTTTCAATCATCCAACCTCATTGTTATCAGTTTAAGTTTTTCTTTTAGTTTTTCAATATACGGGCCAAGTTTTAAAAAAATACGCCTTTTTTAAATCACAGGACAAATTATTGTCTTGCAGTCATGGAACCTGTTCATTAACCATTCACTCTTTTTATCCTGAAATCAACATGAAATGAAAATCCGAGCTCCCTTTACGCTTTGTTATGTCAACAAAAACTAGATCAAAAGAAAGGATCTGATAATGATTATACTATTTTAAATCTCTCTCCTCAAAATAAATATCACAATAAAGGTCTTGTAATTTTTAATCTAAAAGTTTCATTGAGTGTAAAGGATTCTCTTCAGTGAGTTCCCTTTTTTCTTTACTTTTCTAATGTTCCTGACAGTAAAATGTTTTTGAGGCGAAATAGTGGTGCATCCTAATTAGCGGCATGTTTACACATCAAGAAGGAATGATCGACAGGTCAAATTCACATTATGCCACTGTCAGGCGTTGAGCGTACATCTTATCGTAGTACGGCATGGCAACATCGACACACTGAAGAATATCGGCTGAT